ATCTTCTCATACTATATTTGCTATCTAACAATAACATTCTGCTTGTTGCTAATAATGATCATATAATGATGCTCATATAATAATAACAATAATAATAATAATAATTTAATAATAATAATAAATTAATGTTCATTATGTCTAAAAAAACAGGAGCAAAATGGACCATTTTGGAAGGAATTGGATACAGATGGAAGCCATCGATCTGCAGTGCCCTGAATAGCTGACGCTAAAGCTTATCTACACTATAAATATACTGCTTATTTACTATTTAAAAAATGCATTTTGCATTCCTTTACAATAAACCTACAAGAATGATTTGTACTTTGTGTGGATGGAACTTACTCTTTTAATTTGTAAATCATCTTGGAGCAGTTCATCATCGCTATCCCATGATGAGTTGAACGTTCTTTTTGTAGTTCTTCGTCTAGGATCTGAATCATCTGCATTGAAAAATTAAAAAAAATAAAACAAATGTTGTTAGGCAAGACTTTTTAACACCTTGTTTATCAAACCATCATATCAAATAAAAACAAAATTTAATTTTTGGCCAGTTAGTACACACACTGCCATGGAAAAATGTAAATTTTAGAAAAAATATTTGAAATTTATTTTTTAATTATGCCAGCCACTGCGTTGAAATCCCCAAAATAAGATACAGGGTCTAGACCTCACCCTATTATTTCTCCTTTTTTAAGAAATATTTTTTCCTTATCAATGTAAATTTAAAGCATTTATCATTTCCATTACTGTACTACACTGCTCATACAGTATGCATTCCCCAATAAAAATAAAATAATTGTCCTCCTCTGCCTGGATGTGGGCAAAACCATTTGCTGAAAAAAGAAAACAAACAATAAAAACGCAGTTTGGCTATGTCTACGCCGAATTATGCAAATCCTAACGTGCTGATTGGTTAAATTGGCTTTACCCTAACCTTAAAAATAACTCTGCCTATCTTAATGCACTACAGCATGATGTCAGATAGGCCTCTAGTAGGGGACCTAGGCTTAGGTAGCTAGATACAATACCGATAGAGGGCGCTATAGATCGGTAATACAAACATCGCGATAGAAAATAGTGCCCCGACGGAGATAGGATATCCAATGTATTAATTGGGTATTTCGCGGAAGTATACAACAATTTGATCGGATTACAGTACTTCCAGATAACTCTCCAGAAATGATTTCTGGACCAAGTTATTGGCTTTTTAAGCGCGCGAATCGATTTAGTAGAAGTTTTTTTAGTACAACCAATGTTTCATCGATTTTCAATAATAAAAGGAAACCTTCGCTAGTTTTTTGGTTAACATGTTTGTTTTCTTCAGTTTTTAAACTATTAAAGATAAGTGAGTTTTAAGTAATATTTGTGTGCATATTAATTGAAATAGATGGCATAAAATTCTATTGTCTTATCACGTACTGCAGTTAGGCTCGGCTCGTACGAATAGAGGGCGCCCTTGTTAATTTGCAGTGGTTATACGCAGGGCAAACATTGTTTTCCCCGCTGGCCACCGTGTTGTCTGAGGCCTGCAATTAGGCCTAGAGTTATACGATTCAATATAATTTATTATACGTAGAATCTATAAGTTGATAACAATTATTAAATCTAATATAAATATATGTACTAAAATACTAAATTATAATTGTTAGTAATTGTCAAGTATTATTTTAACATGGCCTAAAATGCTACATAATTATACTGTAAGGGACAAACTTCTTGTATAATAAAAACAATAAATAGGATAGGAATTTTAACTCCAGCAAAAAACATATTTAAAATAGCAATATCTTCGCTAATATTGGTCCGATTTACATAATTTTTGTTTTAAAATGCTTCATTCAGTTCTGTCTTTCTATTAAAAATAATTAAAATATTTAGGACATTTCAATTTTTTTTGTTTCTAGCAAGCCTAGGCGTACAGTAGATGCAGCCCGTTTGTAATAAAAAAACACATTTTTTAAAAAGTGTTAAAATGCATATAAATGACAAAGGTTTATCATTGTGTTTGGAGATTGAAGGTTCTTGGGATCAGTCAGGTGCGATCCATGGACCGCGGGTGTGTAGCCGAGGTCGAATATCTTCTGCAATGAGTTATGGTTAGGGTTAAAACATTAAGAAGATATTCAACCTCGGCTACATACCCGCGGTCCATAGATCGCACCTGATCCGGTTCTTGATTCATGAAGGTATCTTATTCATTGACTGTAGCATCCAAGATGGCTAGGCCTATGCTAGGCTGTCTGATTTATAACAACAATGCAGTTTGTTAGTGTTACCCGTCCACCAGTCGAGTGCCGTTCACAAACAACAATGTGAGACTGAGAGGCCTAGGCCTAGTTATCAGTTAAACAATACTACCAGGTTACTGACTCTTACCATCGATTTCAGCCATTTCTGGGTTCTTCTAGTTTTGTTTCAATTACTCTAAAAGTCCATACTTCTGTGAGTAGACTAAATTTAAATTAAAACATTATGATTAGGCAAAGCCAAAACCTTTCTTCTGCAGCAAAAATCCAACGAAACGACCTTAGATTTTTTGAGAAACGTTGGTGGCTGTATAATTGAAAGCCCGCCACCAACGACAACTATAACTTGCCTGGATGGATTTCTGTCCAATCTAATAATAGTAATAAATCTTTTCTCAAGGAGATTTTAAAGTGCGGGCCACGAACTACGAATCCAAAAGCCAGAGGCACCAAGCAAGTAAGTAAGTAAAGTAAGCAAAATCAGGTTATCAGAAGTATGCAATTGTCAATTTATTCTTTTCCTGATTTCCTTTATATTAATCCACAAGATAAACAACAGTAACTTAAAAAACATACAATTACTTTTGCAGAAGCTTTGTACTGTTTGAGAGCTGCAACTGTGTTTAGACCAAAATCCACCAATTAACATGAAATGTTTACCCCTTGAGTTTTCCTATGCAGACATTGATTCCCTTTCTGAACTCAAGAATGAACTTGATAATGTCTTGCCAATCGCTATTAAAGTTTCTAAAGATTGGAATTTGTGTCAATATTAAGGCAAGAGAGAGTTTAACCATGTGTTTATTGATTAAAGGTAACGACAGTCAGACTTGGAGATCCCAAAGTATTGGGTTCACTCCTCCACAAAAGGCTTAAGATATATAATTATATTAGCATACGTGACATTTAACAACTTATTATTATTACTATTATTATTATTATTATTATTATTATTATTATTATTATTATTATTATTATTATTATTATTATTATTATTATTATTATTATTATTATTATTATTATTATTATTATTATTATTATTGTTATTATTATTATTAGTAGTAGTAATAGGCCTATTATGATTAATAATTTTAACCATTCTGCAAACAGAATATGTGGTCATTTGCATAAATTGATGACGTTGAAACTTTAGCAAACAAGAGCTTAGTAGGAATGATTATGTTAAGCATTATTAGTATATGGATAAATAAGTAATTAATTGTTTTATTTTAATTTTTAATTCAATTTTGCATATCCATTCACTTTCTGACCATCTCTGTGAACCTGAGAATCTGAGGTTGCTGCGACATGATACATCTTCTTTCCTTTCTCATCTTGTCTTATCTTCCTGTTTATTTCCTGTCTTGTACAGTATTCCGTATCTTTCCATTGCCTTTCTTACTTTTATCTTTCGCTTGTTTTTCTTTCTTTCTTATACTTGGCTTAAGAAAAATATTTCTATGGATCTAACACTTAAATTATGATGTATTACTATGTTCTATGTTATTATGCAACTGTAGTAGCTAGGCCTATAATGAGTAAAATTGATACTTGCCATAGGTCCCACTTACGGATGATTATACATGTAAAATATTCCAGACGGAATAGGCCTAGTAAACAAACTGTATAAGGTACCGTAACGAGGGTGTCAGACCTTTATCTGAAAGAATTGATAAGTCGAGGTGGTCTATGCTTGAGCGAGGATACCCTGCTTTGGTATTTGCTGTTGTGTTCTAATCATTTAAAAGGTCGCATAAGAAAGCACCAAAGCAATCTTTTAAGAACAATCTAGAGATTTATCGTCTACAAATTCACAGATGTGTAACTATAATGATTTATATTATTTACGTGAGGTTGTTAGCAATAGAAATTTGTTGAAAATGTTATAAGTCTATGTTTTTATACGCATAAGACTGGAGAGGTTGTAAATTCAAATATTATTGAGATTCTACGAATTTTGGTATACACAATAATATAAAATATAATTTATTATTAACAACTTGAGCTACTGATAAACACCTTTTGGAAAAACCATTATATTCTGTTTAGATTCGATGTTGGTGAGCAACCAGCTTTGTTTTATACAAACGTTTTACCACTTTCAACTGCTGAAATGCGGCGCTTAAAATATTGATTTCTTCATTCATTAGCTAAGATTGACTGTGCCAGTGGACCTTGTATACTGCCACTGATATAAAAGTGTAATGTTAAATAAATATTATATTATAACATAACTTTATATCAATGTTCTAATAACCATTGCGTAGGATAATTAGGTAGGTTAAATTTATGAAACTGCGGGATTTTTTAAGTTGCTATTGGAAACCATTTCAAAACGCTCTTTATCGACATTTATGTTCAAAGGATTAGTGGTCAAAGGGCTGTAGTAATTTTTTCCCGACCACAGTTTTATCACGGGCCGGATTGAATTGTCGCTAAAAAATTAAAAATTTAATTGCATGTTTGAATTGCCTAATTTTATATTTGAGTAATTATTAACTTAGAATTTGAAGATTTAATAAGAAAACTCTTTCTCATTTAATAGAGAACCTTTCCTATATTCCTTTAATTAAAAATGTAAGGGCAAATGTCTGTAAATCAGCAACAACTATTTTTTTTAGATCCGTTTTGTTTGGAATTCAATAACTTCTTATAACCTTCTATGAGCTATTAAAAATAATAAATATATAGTCTTAAAAGTGCTGCGATGTCGTCATTATTATTTTTATTATTGTTCAAATGTCTTCTTGAATTAGTTAAGCTAATAAAGAGTCGAGGACAAGACGAAATATAAATAAAAGTGCATACAGAAACTTAGGATTTTATAATTATATCAAGCATAATCTCTTCAACGAAAAGTTCATTTTCATTTGTATTGTAAAAAAATTTTATAAGTCTTTCTTACATATTGGTTTCGTGATATTTTTCATTAACATACTGAAGGAAATGTGGAACTTCTTGTTTATATATAATTGAGTAACAATGTCTAAATTGACAGCTTTGAGAGATGAGAAAAACAAAAAGAAGTCGATGTATAACAAATTTTTTAGTTGCCAGTTTTATAATTTAAGTAGGCCTAAGTTGTCCAGAACCGAATAACGGTTAGCCTATGTTAAAAGCCATTTCCTTTTCAACATACTGCAGACTTACCAGCCCTAGAACTGAACAGAAGTCTCAATATGATATGAAACTTATGGAGTGGAGCAATGACAAACAAAAAATTGGTATTTAATTGAACCCTGGGCCCCTGGATATTATATACGAATACAATTTATACGAATACGATACTTTCACATCTGGTTTATTCAAGAGTTCCAAAATAGAAAGAATCTTTATGTAAGACTTTTAATAGAATATATCGGTAAATTATAGATTCACAGACAAATATGATCCTAATTTACTCGCAATACATATTCATTTACAGGAATACCTTGCAAAGCATGTGCACTATTTAGTCAAATGTCAAATAGTACATAGCGCCCCCTATGTGTGCAAACATCCTTGAAGAGTGAAAAGAAAAATATTGACCACAGAATTAGTTTGCCAAGATAAACTGTGTACCCTGCGGAATGCTTGACGGACTTACAGGCAGTAAGAATGTTCCCAGCTGATACATTCATTTTCCAAAACGTCTTTAAACAGTACTACGGTTGAAAGATGGAATTAAGGCTCATAGGTTAAAAATTATAAATCTGAACAATTATGTTTCTATTTATTTAAGGCTGCTCTCACTAAATAAATGGCAAGGCATAAGACAACATGATAAACATGCATTTTATGATATACTGTAATGAAATATTCCCTTTATCAAATGATTTATTTTTTAATAATTTGTACAGCATATAAAATTACTGTATTAAGCATTAATTTTCGTACAGCACTTATTTAAGCACATGATAGTAACTTGGTATAGAGTTACACCTCCACTGGTGGTTTAGCATCTAATGAAGAAGCTCACATCATGTTAAGCATTTATTTGTTTGTTTATTTCTCTTTTTGTTTATTTACAGCATGAAAGATATGCTTAAAGGTGCTTATAATTATTAAAACAATACAGAAACTAAATCGAAATTAAGAGAAATAAACTAGAAATTGCAAATTGCAAGTGAAGCGCTGCGAAGTACAACTGCATATAAATGTTCTTCGTACAAAATTATTTATGCGAGTCAAGTGAAAATAATGAATAATAAAACTATAACAAATAATATGAGACATGACCCATTGTCTATATTAGAAC